GATGTTCTCCTTAGGGGCTCCTGTGAAAGCAAATGATGGTAAAATTCCCAAATTAACCTTTGACCTAAGAAAATTATAACTAGTCCCTGAGCACTTTGAAAAGGTCCGGCCATAGTTTTGTCAAAAATGTGCACCATTCAAAATTGTCTCTTGCAGTTGGTACCAAAAAACAGGTCTCATATTAGCACGTAAAAAAGAAAAAAAAATATTCATGACGTCATAAAAACCAGGTTGAGTTGATGTTGTGGGGCCCCATCTTCATCCTGGAAACTTCAAAAATTACTGTAGGAAAATTTGTTGCTTGTTATGGGAAATTTAGACATTAACAACAAGGACATATACTGACATATAAAGAAAAACACATATATGAGGAAAAGCAAAGAAAGTTTATCAAGTATATAATTATCCTTATTCTGTCCCATTTCATGGCTCCTGATCTAAGACAGAAACTCTGAGATATCTTTTTATCAACAGGCTTGGAATTGGAGCTCACTTGGTAGAGCATGAGACTCTTAATCTCAGGGTCGTGGGTTCGGGCCCCACGTTGGGCACCAAAATGATGTGGCTGCTTAGATTAATGCAGACAAATTGTGATAAGTATTTGCACAACTTTAATGGAAAACCAGACTCACGAAACCAAGGTTCCCACGCGGAGTACAGGAAACAGGAAGGGGCCCGCAGCTTCTACGAGCCCAATTTATCAGTAAACATTCGCCCGAGGCAAGCCTGCCCCAATGGGCGGGCTTATCCCTACACCAGCGAAGGGCAGGGCTGGTTCAGTACAGCATGGTTCAGCATGGTTCCAGTGACACCCTGTGGGGTTAGTGTAGGATATCCTTTCTGCTGCTACTCCTGTAACGTGCATGCACGCAATTGGAAAGTGTTAATGAATACCCGTGTTAGGAAGAACTTAAGAAAAATCTCTGTGGTATTTTTAATTGAAAACACTGTTGTTCTATAAACATTGGCTTCCTGTAAGTACTGTGTTACAGGAACCCTTGGGTTTGGATATAAGAGTTTTTTGTTTTGTTTAAAAAAAAAAAATCATTGAGATGGTTACCGGAGTTTTGCCAAGAGATATTTCCCGGGTTGTATTATTTACATGAGAAATTTATTCTGCCTTTCTAAATGTAGTCGACACAGTTTAGAAAATACCTCCCACCTCTATGGTTCCAGAAGTCAAACCGTGTCATCGGAATAAGGAAATAACTAGCAAACAATTGTTCTTTCCCTTTTAATGTCTGTGGCATTAGCATCAAGGTTTTCATTCACAGATTAACATTATTCTGGCTGCAGGTACTAAAATCTGTTTTCTATGCTTCATAAATGTTAAAGCCATACTCACCTATCAAACCACATACAAGTCCCTGGAGAGAGCCCCGTTTGCTGATTAGTGGCTCCAGCAGGGTGGTGGGTTGTGGAGCTGTTCAGGGGTAACTAAAGTACCTCTGAGACTCTAGTATAGACATCTGCATTTTAGAGGTGGTACAGGGATAAAGAACCAAGAACATCAGAGATAATGTCATGGTTTTCAGATGGCAGGCTCTTTTTATAAATGGATAGAGAGATTTCTGATATGAAAAGGAAATTTGCCATAACAAATACATTCCCTTTGCTGCACTCTAGCCTGGCACCAATTAAATTCTACTATATGTATAATATACTCTTAATTCCTAACAGCCCAAGAAGAAGTAATGTGAAAAGTATTATATGTTCTTATATTTTACAAGTAATGAACAGCTGGAAAAAATTATACTGATTCATAAAGAAATTATAACACACCTCAAAATGGTGTTTATGTGGTCAGTTTTTTTCTTTTCAAAAGTATTAGAGTTACCTTGAATAAAATTTAGATAGCACTTGGACTTTTATAATGCTCCATCTATAATTTACTTGTATTTATTTCTCTTGCAAATATGAATGATTGAAAGTATAGGTGACCTTGAGGTGAGTGAACTGGTAAAGACTGTATTCAATGCCAGGGAAATTACAGAATGATTATTCACCGCACACAAGGGTTTGTCATAGGGCAAGCTTTCTTAAAGCATTTCAAATTTAATTTAGTTTATAAAACATTCATTTGCACACAGCATTTCAGGAACAGGTTCAGTGAGGAGATGAGCCCTAGTCAATCATGGGCGGGAGGTAGGTTCCCTAACACTGCTAATGTCAAGACTTTCTCTCTTCCTCCCGGCAGCACTGATCGCCATTGGGCGATACAGCGTGACCATAGAGACGGTGGACGTTGGATGGTGTAAAGAAATCACAGATCAAGGAGCCACCCTGATTGCACAGAGCAGCAAATCCCTGAGATACCTGGGACTGATGAGATGTGATAAAGTAAGATGGACTTGTTTGTTTTCTGCATGGAGTTGCTATAGTAACTAGCTTAATGCCATATTCCTTCCTACATGCCCATGCACACTGCTAGCCATGTGGTTTTTGCCCTGATTTGCTAAAGTATTCAGGAATTATTTTTGTATTTCTGATTAATAATGGATTTTTGTACTTAAAGGGAAGGAGGCAATCACGTGGTATCATCATAGGATTTAGCTTCCTATCCCTAAATTCACAGAGCAGAATTTAAGAGGCTGCTGCAAACTGCGATTTATATGGTTTAACAAATGAAATTCTAGAGTTTAAGTTTCCTGTAACAGCAAACTGTCAAATTGGCTTTTCCTAAGTGTTCGTTTCATTTCTGCACACATGTGTGTTCTGGCCACTGGAGGCAAGAAGGAGCCAGTCTGTGTCTCCCTGCACCTTAGGTTGTCTCTCCTATCGCACACTGTGAAATGTCCCCAGAGGCCCAGCCAAAGTGCCATGGAGCCGTCCGTTGTCAGGGACTGAGCATGAGTTTAGGAATGGGACTGCACCTAACAAGACAGAGAAGGAAACAGAGAGCATCTGTGCAGCCCACTCAGCCCTGAGCAGATGTTCTCTCCTCTGCAGCTTCCATGATTTCCCTATAACAAATCAAAGAATGCCAAGTAAAGGCTGAGAAATCTCAGACACCTGAACAAGGCTCCGTACCCAAAGTCTTTGACATATGATTCCAACATTTCTTAAACGTGCCAGAGGCAGCCTTTAGCCAGAGGCAGCTTGCTTTGAAAAGGTGTGTCTCGAGATGTGCTCTAACAAAGTACTGGCATCTTCTTCAGTTTACATGTCTGTGCCACTTCTGCAATGAGTAGGGACAAATCTGTCACACGAATTGATACTAGACAAACATGTTGCTCAAAGGCCATGTATTTGTATACATTTTCTAAGTGTAGACAAATCTGGGGCAAAAATCACAATGGTCCAAATCCATTGTGTACTTTGTCATTTTTGACAATAGATCTAATTGTTGTTTCCAAGGTTTTAAAATCTCAACTGCTCTAGACCTTTGCTGGTTCTGTTCTAGAGACTATATTGTATCTTAGCCCAGCGCAGAAAGCTACTTGCTTTGTATCTTAGCAACAGCACTGAGACCCACCGGAGCAAGTCTCCCTCGACACTCATTGCTGGCTGAGAGGATGCTGATGCTAACCTTGTCACTTTACAGTTAAAGGGTCCCGCGATAGGCGGAGATCTCTGGAAATACAAAACAGTGATAGGCAAGCTCCTCAGCATCCATCAAAAACCCATGCCATATAAATGTCATCTCAACCAAGAACTCCAAAGTGAATGCATTTAGAGCCACTCTTTCTAGCCTGTCCTCTTTATAGTTTGTACCTTGAAAATTAGCTTCATCTTCAGATAGAAATTACAACCATTTATGTTCTTGTTTCTTAGTTCAGAACACTATTCCATCCCCTAGGCTAAGCAACATTTTGTTGATTTTAAGTTTAAGAATTCTGGACTTTAAAAAAAGACTAAATAAAAGCACAAATTACTGCAAAATGAGATAGAGAGGTCGTAGCAATTAGTGGTGTCCCTAAGGGTTGCAGTCTATTCTGTGTTTGGTTCTGCATCCTTTCTCAAACAGAGGATGGCTCTGTGAGTCTGTTGCCTCTGACACAGTACCGTCTGGCCTTAGCCTGCTGCAGTTCAGCCCAGCCCAAGGAGCTCAGTCTTGCTGTCTGGCTTCCTGAGACTCGAGTCTGCTCAGAGCCAAACATGAGGGCTTCAATGAGAACAGAAGACATTTCCAAGCCACACACGACATGCAAGCAAAGTATTGAACAGAAAGTTGGATGGAAAATCCAAACTAAAGTAGTTTTTCAGATTTCCAATTTTGCTTTATGTCATCCATCTTTAAATTCTCATCAAGACCCGAAGAAAGATTTGCATGGAGGAGAAAAGCAGCCCATAATAAGGGGAGTGTCCTCTGGGGCCAGAGCGTGGTTCAGATATGGGCTTACACACTCTGATAATAAGGGGAGTGTCCTCTGGGGCCAGAGCGTGGTTCAGATATGGGCTTACACACTTAATAGTAGAGTAATCCTGAGCACAGCTTCTTGCAGCATTTGTGAAATGAGGATTATCCTAGGACCCATCTTGTAGAATTGTGAACATTTAAACAAATTAATGAATATAAAGTACTTAGGATAATGTCAATCATATATAAAATACCCTGAATTACTATTCTTTTTAATGACATAGTAACTTGTATTATACAGTGGTATGTGAGTTTACGAATATAATACACACACATATCACATCACATTTTGAAAGCAAATTTAAAGAGGAAATAAAATACTCAAACTATAGAAGATACCTTTGTAGATTTTTCACATCTAAACTTCTGTGTTCTATAGAAAGATACCAATAATCACTTTCTACACATTTCCCTAGTAAAATCAAATGTCTCCACGGAACACTGCATTTGAGTAAAGTCCCTCACCCATCTGCTCAGGCACAGAGATGAAGACAGTATGAACATAAGACACTGGTGTGGGCTGAGAAACTAGCAAGGAGAAATAAAGGCAAACAGGAGTGGAAATAAGAACAGTAAAAGCAGGGCCACGGCCTGGAGATCTGCTGTGTGTCCCCAACATTGGTCATCAAGCCAACAAAGCATCAACCAAAGTGGTGCATACCACTGTGTCGCTATAGCTCAACCAGTGCTGCTAACCACTAACAAAGGTCATTAGTTAGCGAGCCCCACCTTGTTTGGCACACCGTCTGGAGCCAGCCAAGGGCCAAGAGACTTCATTGTTACACAATTAGACACCTGGCCAAGAATGTGGCCAGCAGGATCCCTGAGCTGGGGAGACATGTCGGTGAGTTTGTAAGTCTCTCCATCATGTTCTAGAGTTCACTGGTCCTTAGAAATCACAAAGTCAGCTGGGTATTGGGGGTGAATTCCTTTAGTCCCAGAACTGAGGTTGGGGGGACAGAGATGAGGCATAGACTCTGGTTCCAGGTCATCCAGAGTTACATAGTGAGACTCTGTCTCAAGAAAAGAAAGACTTGGTAGAGTCTAGTTGCATTTTCTTTTATATATAGGTTTCATTCGGTACTGCTTACATTTAATTTGGAGGCTATATTTAGCCAAACTTGTACTTTCCCCTACTTCTGCTTCTAAGAGGTTATAAGAATCATAACAAAATGTCTTTTATTTGCTGTAGGAAAATCTCAATATCTCTCTCTGTCTCCTCTCCTGACCCCCAGATGCAAAGGATCAAACATATTCTTTGCAGCTGAAAAAGCATGTACACGGATTATCAATGTCTAAGTAGATTTGCAGTAAATTTGTTTGGCTGCAACACTGCTGAGTCCTGGGGAGGCGTCCCCCAGCCCTCCAACCACTGGAGCCTTCCCCACGCAGCTGTAAAGTTAGGAAGTGCATTAAGAAGGCTCTGAGTAGCTTTTCCGATGACTGGATGGATAAGCATGTTAAAAGGTTTTGAAGCTGACGCCACATAATCTCCTAAACTTTAATGCATTGTAAAAACCAAGAGAAGAAAACGCTGTGTGAGACTGCTTTGATGAATTGGGGGGAGCTTATACTCTTAGTCACTGTTCAAAGACTTACTTGACCTTGGGAATTAGAGCTGACCTGAAATCACCTATCAGTTTGACTCACATTTATTTAGTGACTTAGTTAAAAGTACGTAGGTAATCGATGGGACTGAAATAAAAGCAATGTGTTTACTGTAGCTTCCACAGCCACAAACAGTCAGTGGTGACTTTGTTCATAGAAATCGTTTTCACGACTTCAGTGAATTCTAGACTTTAGAGATCTGTTTCTTATGATATTTTCCTTATTTCTTACAAGGCGATTTGGATAGAGAACAAAACTGAAAGGGAAAAGCGCATGGGAAAGCTGTAGGGCAAATGGAAATGCAATGTTCAAGGTTAATGAAAAAGGTTTGGGGTAACAAGGTTGATGAGAAGAGAGAGGGCACAATGGAATGGCATTGGCTGGAAAAGGAGACCTCGCCAGAGGCAACTTGGCTGGCTTGGGAAACCTCTGCAGTGTGTGTTAATACCAAAGTTTGGAGACACAGGCCTGAATTATGAGCAGTGAATAACATCATAAACGTAGCAATTCTCAAATGCCAAACCCTTGTGAAAAGCAGTTGGATGGAGAAATGCTGGAGCTTTTAAAAGCTCCCTTTCACTTTCTATTTTTTTTTAACTTCATGCAGAACTAATTTTACACACTGTTCATTTGATTTGAAAATGCCAGCGTCTGGGGTATCATTAAAGAGCGTTATTGAGGGAGCCACTCTTGGCAACGCTTTCACTTAAAATGCTTAGTTCTTATGTTCCTGCAGAGTTATAAACTAGAAGAAAATGTACCCCAGTTTATACCTTAGGCCACTCTGCCTTGCCCCCCCCCCCACCACCACCCATCACCACTAGACAGGTAGCTGCCTTCTGCTGCTGCCGTCTCCTGGACCACTAGAGGTGTCTGGAAGGCTGTGTGGACCCTGCTACTCCAGGACTAGACATAAATGGACTGTGAAGGTCCACTCCAGTGTCCTATGACCAAAGCCTCCTGGAATTCCTTTGATTTCTGCTTGACATAAATTAGAACTACACAGGCGTGAAGCGTCCACCAGGCAGAGATCAGGGAGGCTGCTGGGGGAGGAGGGCTGCCTTTGTGGCCTCTATTGATCACTCAGCTGCCTGCAGGCCAGGGGCCCAGCGGAGGCTGGCTCTTATTGGTCCAAAGCATGAAAATAATCAAATTAATTCATTTCTTATCAAAAATTCACTTCCCAAGACCATCTTCCTCGTCTGCCACAATTCTTGAAATTCTCAGTTGAAGAGAGAAATAGTGATTTATTTTGATAAAGGTCGCTTGCTATAATATCTTCTCTAGGATGTAAGAAAGCCTGACTCTCGCGAAGAATTCCTTATTTAAGTGGCAGAGAGATGGCTAATATGGAAAACAAGTGATAGGAACC